ATTGCGGGGCTGAGAGAGCAGGCAGGGGTTGGGCCTGTGTGATTCAGAGATTCGGCAGCAGGTGAATCTCTGAATCAGGTTTGGCTGAATTGATTCGGGACAGTGATTTGAATCACCGAATCGAATCACTGTCCCCCGAATTGGCTGAATCTGAATCCAAAGCAAATACTAGCCGCTTTGCACAGGCCTAGTGTACGTAGTCTTATAGTGTTGAGTCTTAAATTTGGAAAATATTCACCAAAGAAAGTTTGCCATTCCTCATATCTTTTCTCTTCCTCTTTGACTCTAGTTTTCCTTTGTTCTGGCTGCTTAGTCCTCCTCTTTAGCTGCTACCTGATACCATCGTGCATACATGTGACCTGCTGTAAAGCTGCCTTTAGTGCTGATCCTTGGCAGGCTATTGGGGCTGTCATCGTCTTCAGCAAATGAATTTATCCCTTCAGTTATTTGGTTGGTATAATCTGTACCAGCCTTAAAGCTGTCTGTCTAAATCAGTCCCTGATTTCAGGTCCAGACAACCTCAAGATAGCATAGTTATTATTTTGTTTCCTGTTGTGGATGTTGTTAGTCCTGAAATTCAGTGGTAGTCATGCCTTAAAGCAAAGATTATGAGTGTCCTCCAGTATTCTTGTCGCTAGTGCAGGGGCAACGTATTGGGAGTGCACACGGGTGCATGTGCACTCCCTGAGTGTGGCGGTGCACCCCTTGCAAAAAGGCAGTGTTGGCAGAGCCTCCCCTCTCACTGCTGCCAAGCACCACCACGCTCCTGCTGCTGCAGCTGTGCCTCTCCAGCTGCCGGGGGCACACACTGTTCATGTACTAGTGAATATTTTTGCCGTGACTCCCAGCTATATCATGATTTGGTACAGCATGATCTGCCCTTACTGTATTAAGCCCAATGAAGAGTAGTTGTATGGGGAATAATCCCCTCTGTGAAAGATGACCTTTTCTACTGAATGTGCCCTCATAAAATCTCTTATGTTCATCCTACCTCTGCCAAATTAACATTTAGCAGGGCTTTCTTGATGCTGGCACTTGTAGCCTTTCCTGATAGTCTACATTTGTTCTCTCTCTCCTGGTTTGGGGCTTGTTTTTTTGGCAGTTTACTAAATTAAGTATATTCAGTACATGAGCTCTTAGTGTGGGGTTAACACCTACATTTCTAATTATCACTTGCATTAAGTGCTCTTGTCTATCATCAACTTCCTAATTTTTTAAGTATTTGTATACAAAATTTATTCTGTAAGTCTAGAGCTGTGGTTCTCAACCTTTCTAGAGTAAGTGTAGCTTGCTTGAGTTTGGCAACACTGCAGTTGAGAACCCATCTTACTAAGTAACTGCTTATTCAATAACATTATCCTTTTCCCACAGCAGCACAAGACAGCAGCAGTTCAGTTGTTCCTGCTCACACTCATGTTAAAAAAATAACAACAGAAAATCAACAGTTTGATTTTCCTGTTGCTTACACAAGAAATAATTAATTCCAGGGGAATTACTCCTGATTTACACCATGTTAACTGAGATGGAAATGAAATCTAGACAGGAAAATAAAATAGAGAACATTCTGTTCTTCCCTTGTGAAAGACTTCTGTAGATATGACCGGGATTTTGTGAGTGGAATAAAGGTAAAATGCTGAATTAAATTAATTCAAATGGATCTGGTTTGTCCTCGCTTATATAACACATTTTTCATCTCTTGGATTTACAGAAAGTAAGAGGTTGTGAGCCCTTTAAAAATGGCAACCTGTGCCTGAGTGGGAACAAGGCTTCCTAGAATAAGCTGATTGTTTTTTTTCTTTTTACATAAGCATAAGATTACCATGTGCTCTGTTAGCCTGTCAGTGAATTCTCCTTTCCCTAGGGCAGTGGTTCTCAACTGGGGTGCTGCCGCAACATTGGCATGGCCAGGTGGAATTAAGCTGGGCACCACCTGCATAGGCAAATCAAGAAGTTTCTGAGGCAGGAGTTCCCACTCTTGCCACAGTCCTTCCCAGTCCAACCCCACATGCTCCTCCAGGAAACAGAGGCACTTGGGACAGTTCCACCCACTCCACATGCCTCTGTTTTTGGGAGACACTGTGGAATTGGACCATGACGGGCTGCGGCTAGAGAAGGTGCTCTTTTCATAGCTGCTTCATGATCTGGCTCTGTGCTAGGCAGGTGAAGCAGTTCCCCCTGTGGCATGGCGGGAGCAGCAGCACCACTGTGTCACCCCTGAAAGGGTTTTTGAAAACCTCATTTGAGAACCACTACTCTAGAAAATTATGGAATGCATCATAACTGCATCATTTTAAAATAGAAATATCAGAGACAGCCATGGGATATCCTTGCTAGCTTTTCTTTCTTTTCAAAGAACTGGATATAGTGTCTTGTTGGATGCATACCTTTTTTGTCATTATTGTCTACCATAGTAATGAAATGCCACTCTTGTACATTAGGTAGGATGCATAGACATTTGCCCCCTACATCATATATTTTGGTATCCTGGCTGATTTTCACTTATTCACCATAAAGGGAATTAGGACAATCCAAGTTGTATTGTGGTTGCCAGTGGGTTTGGAGAGTATAGGTTTTTTTACGTTTCTTTATAAACCTGGATTCCAGGAATTCCTATCAAAAAACATTTAGTTCCACAGATAAGATTTCTCATGAATGGGATATATTATGAACATAATGTTAATGGGACCCAAGTATATATAAGCACCTTGATAAGAAGTCTAATGCATTTAACCACCACGGGACTGAGAGAAAATTTTCTGCAACTTCCAGATCAAAACCTTATACAAGTTTTTAATACTACACATTGTTTCCTATAATTTTGAGAAACAAGTGTATTGTTTAATATGAGCTGTATTATGCAGTATTGGTTCTAATTAGGCAGTGGCAGAAAAGGAAGTACTTTAAGAAAAGGGTGTACAGGTGTTTGATCCTTTCCCTTAAGCTTTTTATCTCCCTCCGCCCTGTTGGAAGGAAATAACTGTATACCTGTTACATCAGTTCCAGGACCCTGTGAACCTGAAGATCTCATTGATGGAATCATCTTTGCAGCCAATTACTTGGGTTCTACACAACTGCTCTCAGAACGTAACCCTTCCAAAAACATAAGAATGATGCAAGCTCAAGAGGCAGTGAGCCGTGTCAAGGTAGGAGGTTTTTATGGTCTGTAGAATGGTCTCTGATCCCTTGATAATTGAACTCTGAATAGTCTAAAATATGCAGCTTTAAATTTACTTTGAGATGCACTCAAGTGAGTACAGTGATGATGCTGTAAAAGCTCTCACTGTTTCCAGTGCTTAGTATACAGTACATACAAAGTCTCAGAGGAATAGCTTCTCTGCAGAAGTTATTCCAAATTGCTTCTAAAGCCATATGCACAGAGTAAGTTTTGAAGGCAAAATCCAGACTGTAATAAGAAAACATTCCAACTGCAAAGCACAGGAAACTTGTTTATGATCGATTCCTTCCCATCACCATGTTAAAGTAAAATTTTAAGAGTTGATGAAAGCATTTCAAATGCATCAAATGATTAATTTCTTAAGGCAGGAAGGCAGATTTGTATTTTTGTCTTTTTAAAACTTTGAATTTTCATGTGAATATTTTACTTTTTTTTTACAGGCATGCAAAAAATATATTTTATTTATCCATGCTGTGTAGAACAATTTTAAATAGATCTGTCCTGTTATATCTCACTTGCATGAATATGTTGTTTGAAATATGTAGATTTCAATGCTAATTAGAAAACCTACATATTTAATTTAAAACTAGTTCATTGGTAGAAGTGGCATGTTTGGAGATAATCTAGCTTGGGTCAAATCATCTCAGGAATGGACATATCTTGACTGAAGCTTGATTTGGCTTTTAGAAAAGATAGGCCTTAAATCTGCAGGTCCATGAATTTTCCAGGCTCAAGAGAGGCTTGAGAAGTCACTGGCAACACACGAGCTTAATTTGTGATCCAACACCAAAGAACAGTTTTGTAAATTAACACTGTTGTTAAACTCTCAGGTTTCATTTAGTCTATGGTAGTGGTTCACAAACTTTCTAGATTTGAGGCACCCTTCTTTAGACTTGAGGCAGTGGTTGGAAAATGCCAACTCTTAGTTTCCAGTCATTTTTTGATCACAGACAAAGACCACACAACAGGGCAGAATGCTTTTAACACTATGAATTTCTGTTTGAAATCTCCAGGTTTATCTTGTGAATCATATTTGCATGCCTACCAGTGCCATGGCACCGTGGTTGAGAATCAGTGGCCTATGGTGTTAGAAGACTTCAGCTATATATTATGAAGAGTAGTTTGATCTATACATATAATAAATGTGGCTAGAGTAGTCATGGGAAGGAAAGAGAACTAACTTGTACAAGTTAACAGAATAATGCTGCTACCCAGAGCTACATTTATGAGTTTCTCTTCTTAGACCTTTTGTAAATATGCATTCTCAAGAATTTGAGGTGCACTTGGAATGGAGTGCAAATCAGTGTAGCTGAAGTGAGAAATATTAGGAAATCAGTGCCCTGATATACTTGAAATCAGAGGCACACTCACTTGTGCAGACTGCAAAAATGGGGTAACCAGGTGTATACATGGGGTATGCAGTATTCTGGTTTGGATGAAATTTGAAGGTGTTTCAATCTATGCATCTGAAGTTGGAAATGCAGCTAAGTGCAAAACGGTATTGAGATTAGGAAATCATGGGATCCAGGAACAACATTTGGTGGGCTTTCAATGTTGCTAATAAAGGATTGCACAATTGAATGGGCATCTTTAATTTCCGTTGCTTTATCACACAAAATGCCACCTTTAGCAAAACATACTGAGGTTTATGAACATCAATTTTTTCTGAGTGTTTAACAGTTATAAACTATGTTGTATGGTAATTTTTCCCACACCACAAACAATCCTTAAAGGTATTCCTCAGATGAGTGTTTGTCTACCCTACCACTGTCCTAGAGCCATAGACATATGAGCATGAGTAGTTATTTTAAAATATTTTTGCTTCAAAATATGCCTTTTCCTAGAACAGACTTTCTGAAACAGAGCCGTTGTATACCAAGCAAAGATTCCAACACATTTTTTTCAGCACCTGTATTACTGATGCACACTATATCCTACTTAGTGATCACATGTATCTCAGTTGTGTGAATATGGGATGGGAAGAGAATAGGATTGTTCTCCAAAAGAATGGATATTACAGAGGTACAGTTTCTTTTTTGGCAAAAGCTCTCCATTGGACTGCTGCCCTGAAATCCATTGACTTGTATTAAATGGGCAGAGTATTTTGTCTGTAAGGCGTAGAAGAGAATACATGTAATACTGTATCCAAGTGTAAAATGCTTCACCCTGTCACATTCATTCCTGCCTTTTTGAGTTTATTATCACTCTTTGGAATCCACTTCTGTCTCACTGATAAAGGAATATTGCAAGTTACCATGGTCATCTGCACTGTGCAACCAAATTAAAACTATACTTTCTTTCATAGGCTTGATTCTTCACAAAACATAATTACATTCTCATACAGAATTTAGATTGACCTTTGATTCAAATGTCCCTCCACACAGTGTGCACAGTCAGTACTCCTAAGCATATAGGCTGTTGTGTGCACTGTCCAGCTTTTCAGAGCAAAGACAACACAGGAAATATAAATAGCCTTTTAGGGAGTGACAGAAATTTGACTCACCTCCCAAACCTCTAGCAATCTCACCTGTTCACCGTTGTCCAAATTCCATCTCCAGATTGTTCTATACTGGGTTTAACTCTTTGCATGCATTGAGTATATTTTCAAAAACATCCAATAATGTATGGTCATGCTTTAAAGTGAGAGACAAAGTGAAGCTTATGTTCTTTGTTTAGGAAACTGTGTCCTTTGAATTAAGAAAGACTGTCTATTTTCAGTTAATGAAAGTCTTGATCTGGGATAATTTATAGGAACTACCTTATATATAATCAGAGCTTGATGTTCAAATGCTAGGTTTTAATAGGATTTTTGAGTAATGATTTGAATGTACAAAACATTATGTAAATATATGTTTTCACTTGCTTCTTTACTTAAATATGGAATTTGTACATCCTGTTAAAGTGCACACATTTGAGTACAGGGCTGGTGGTATCATTTTAGGTAATTGTATACTCAGCAGAGAAAATGTAATGAGCAGCTATTAACAGACAACACTCCTCACTGTTTTTGCAAATAAGAGTTTTAAGAGTCTGGAATCATAGTCAAAAGGTGTTCTTGGCTTCACACACTGTCCCTTTCTCTCTCTTTTTGTGTGCATCTGTCTGCATTCTTTTTTTATGCTGCTACTCAGAGGATGCAAAAGGCGGCTAAAATCAAGAAAAAAGCGGTGTGTAAACTGTTTTTCTTGAATGCTAATGTTTCTGTGCATTTCTGTTGTTCTTGTTCCCCGTGGAGTGTCACATCTTTCATTATGGAGCCTCATAAAGCTGTAATTTTGGCCGTTATTTGTCTTAGTAGTGGGCCACTGGATGGAACAAGATGCACTTGTTGATTTCTTTCATCTTCCACTTACTAAAGTGCCTGTCTGCTGCTGCTGCTGCTCTTCTGTTTAATCTCTCAGTGTACTGTAGTTGGTTTAATCCAGATGACAAGTCAATTTGATGATGAGGATAATTTTTTATAGTAACGTTTATGCTTATTTTGGCAGAAGTATTTGTGTTAATATTTACTATATAATGTCTTTTATTAAGACTGTGACTTATTAAGCTTGTAAGTATCCGGAATAAAAAAAGTGCACAGAAAATGTAATCTATCAAATCAAGATGTTACCTAAAACAATTCACAGAGGAGACATTTCACCCAGTTCAGCAAATTATATTTGGGGATCAATTATTATATATACCTGTCAAAATATCACTAGAATGAGCCTCAGTAAATATGGCAATCTTGAATCATAGAATCATAGGGCTGGAAGGGACCCCGAAGGATAGTTTCATAGTTGGTAGGGTTGAAAGGGACCTGAGCAGATCATCAAGTCCAACCCCTGCCCTGGGCAGGAAGAGTGCTGGGGTCAAACGACCCCAGCGAGGTGATTGTCTAGCCTCCTTTTGAAGACCCCCAGGGTAGGAGCGAGCACCACTTCCCTTGGAAGTTGGTTCTAGATCCTAGCCGTCCTGACTGTGAAGTAGCGCTTCCTGATGTCTAGCCTGAATCTACTCCCCATCAATTTATGGCCGTTATTCCTTGTTACTCCCAGTAGTGCTCGGGGGAACAGGGACTCTCCCATAGCCTGCTGGTCCCCCTTGGCCAGTTTATAGATGGCCACTAGATCCCCTCTCAGCCTTCTCTTGTGGAGGCTGAACAGGTTCAGGTCCCGTAGCCTCCCCTTATAGGGCCTGCCTTGTTGCCCCGTGATCATGCAATCATTGGGTCCAGCCGGAGCTCCAGATCAGATCCCTGGCATCTGAAGCGGCTGGATCTAAAGCTGAATCGAATAGCTGCCTACTTGCACAGGCCTAATAATTTGTGTATATATTGCACACAGCCAAGATGGGAAGGACAGATCATGATCGCTCTTGGTGGTGCCTCAGAAACAGGGAGGAGGAATGTTGGTGAGACAGTGTGAGGATGCATCCATGCTTTTTCTCTTGCTGCATCACTAAATACATGTGTTTGGTTCCTGAGCTGTCAATCTAGCATTTTCCACAAGCTCCGAAATCAACTTGCATGTATTTGGGAGCACCTCTGAACACCATCTTTGCAGTGATTTAGTAATGCTGTTGTTTCAAGTCATTAACAAAGTTGTCATTTTAAAGAGAAAATTTATATTCCTTTTATATAACGGGATTGTCTTTTAGACTTCTGAGGGAGATTCCCAGGCTTTGACAGAAGTGGATCTATTCATCTCCACACAGAGGATTAAAGTTCTGAATGCAGACACACAGGTAAGTTTTAATAGTAATTTTTCAAAAATAGTGCTGACTGGTAAGTAAGAACTCTTGTTTTATACTATATTCTCATGTGTTTAGAGTGAAATGTTTTTTGCTGAATATTTTAAGTGCACTACTGTAATGAATAGCACATGAAATCACTCTAGAAGGAATGCAGTGTTGGTTTGGTTGAAAATGTTACTGGTTTTAGAGCTGCCACTTATCAAAGTTTTATCATCGCACTGAGTGTGGCTCCTTCCTCATACACCACATTTTTGGTGTTCTAGGAAAAAGTCTGCATATTGTTTGAGGTATATAATGCAATGTAGTAAAAATTTGGAAGCCTTTCAAAATTCATTTGCCTTTGCACTGTTTCAGAGCTGTTTCTCAGTAGGTGTCCTGAGTTTATAGCCTAAGTTTTTTTTACTAAGAGTAGGCATTTGCTACCTTGGATGAGCCAACTATATCTGTTATGTCTACTTAGCCACCTAAGTGATCACCCTTTTTGCGCAAAATAGCCTCCTTTTTGTATTATGGTAGCATCGAGATGTGGCAACCAGGGTTAGGCCCCTGCTGTGTTAGATGTTAGATATACATGTAATGAGAGACCATCTTTGTCCTGAATAATTTACAGCTGGGCTTTGGACAGCTGCAGCAGGCAGGCTTTGAACAGCTACACTGGGCTCCGCAGCCCCAGCACTGGCTCCATGCTAGTAGTGGATGCATGCATGCCTTGTGGCATATGGGTGAGGGCCCAGGGAAGTGCAACCATGGCCTCTCCCCAGCTGTCTGCGTAGAGGTGCATGTGGAGTCACTGCCAGCAATGAGGATCAGGCCCCTTGTGGGTCCCACCCCCACCTCTGTTATGCCAAGCTGAGGTGTGGGTGGAGGTTGGGGTGTTTTTGGCACTCTGGCCAAAAATATTGTTGACCCCTTGTCTAACCCTAGGTCATCCTTAGGCAGAAGGCTGGTTTATTGTTTTTAAGTGGGTTTTTCTTTGCAGGAAGTGTAGGGAATCTCCTTTGAGTCTTGTAATTTACCCATTAGAGACTGTTTTTATCAGCTGTCCTAATGTTTTTCCTTATCTGGGAAATTGTTCTTATAGTCAAGACTTGTTGACATTTCTTCCAACTTCAGAACTAAATCGGGAGACCAAGAGAGATGGCAGAGATCTTCCCACTGCTCTGCAAACAAAATCAGAAACCATGGTGGCAAGAAATACCCTATAACAGTTTCATTCACAGATCTCAAAACAAATTTGCATGCCTTGGTTTTTCTGTTGTGCTGTATTTATTATCATCAGACAAATCAAGTGTGAAAATGCCCTTTCTGGAATGTTACAATGTTCTTGGTATATTCAGACATGATCATTTATTGCTGTAGCTGTTGTTAGGTCCACTTTGTCATGCATGTCTTTTTTAACCCAAAGAATATGTAGAATTGCTGTCTTAGGCTGTGTGTAGATGAAACGTGGGGCATATGTGCATGATGCTTTAAAGCGGGTTAAATGCTTTTGCACCACTTTAATGGTGTTGGTGTTTATACATGTCGGTGGTGTATTGTGCAGTAAGTCCAACCGCTGTAGCAAATTCAGTGGCGTAATGTGCCTTTAATGACGTGGAGCAGAGCAAACTAAAACTTCTCTGAGGAGTTTTAGTTAGCTGCCCTACAGCCCCAGAGCGAAGTACCGGGCTCCATGCAGCTCATTGGCTCTGCAGGAAACCTGTCCAAGCAACCTGGCAACAGCCCAGAGCCTGCCTGCCTGGCAGTGGAGCCTGCCTGCCTTTTCCCTGGAGCCTGCCTGCCTGCCTGAGCTATGCGGGGGCCCAGTGCTTCCCTCCGTATTTGCAATACCCACCGGGACCGCCTGAGCCCGGTGCCTCCGGGCAGGTGCCACCTGGGGGCGGGCTGCCACTGCCGTGGAGGGAAGCACCAGCTTTGCTCCGCCCGCTGGCAGCTTTCCTTCCCCTCCCCACCACTGGATAGGCAGGTAAGTTTAAGGGTGTGTGCATGACACAGGGGTTTACTTTGCCCTAAATTGAAGCAGTGTTTTTAAAAAGCCATCGCTTCAATTTAGGGCTCCTGTTTCGTCTACACACACCCTTTTTGCCCAATGGTAATCGCGTTCCCTGAGATTTATTTTTTAATAGTTTAGATCATCATGAGAGTTGATGAACAGCTGGAGTTCTAAGATAGTGGGAGTTTCAGCAGGAAGTATAAAAATGCGTTTTTACAAGTTCTATGAATTGGTCTGTAAATACCACCAGTGAAGGAGTTTTTTTCTTTTCTAAATTGAGGGTAGATTAATACTTGTTAAATAGGGGATTACCATCAGTGGCTAGAACAAGTACATTTTTCTCTTTTGTTTTAAATGTTCCATTAGAATTTGTGGAAGAGATGTACAGATGAAGAGTAGAAGATAACATGTAGTGTAGTAGATGCACTTATAGACCACATACAGACATTTAAAAAAACAGGGGAGGAATTGATCTAAGTTATGTGGTTTTCTCAAAGTGTCCTAGTTGAGATTGGTAGTGAACAGCATATGCATTTTCCCTTGCCGGGGGAGGATGGAGTCATGAGGCAGCCTGTGCTGGCTGAGTCCCACAAGTTGGGGGTGCTCCTGAATGCTTCCCAAGGTGATAACAACTTCCAAGTGACCAAAGAGGACAAGGCCGCTCAGGACACCATGGACACCAGGATGCTCTGGCATCACCTTCAAACTGTTGAGAGCCAGTTCTGGGCCTGTGCTACCAGCAATGAGTGGTGTGAGCAGATTGTTCTGGACCCTTGGGATGACTAACAATAGGTCCAGTTGTTCTACATCTGCTGGACTACTTCCATAGACATTATAGCCCAGGTGACCCCCCACATTATGAACCAGGACATCAGCATGCAGTCATCCCTCTACAGAAGTGGGTGGTCATCACTATCACGAAGCAAGCCACCCACAGTAGTCTTCACTAGATTGTCAACCAGGTCAGCATGGGCAAGTCCACAGTCAGAGACGCTGTCTGGGAGGCTTGCCTGGGGTCACCAAGAACATCCTGGCCAGTCACTTCATCTGCCTTGTCAGTCCACAGGAGATGGTTACTGGCTTCCACCGCTTGGGCTTCCCCAACTGCCTGGGGGCTGTGGATGGCACCCAGGTGTTCATCAGCTGTAAGGGCTACTTCTGTGTTGTCCTGAAGGGCATTGTTGACCACCAGGGCTGCTCTGCCCACATCTTTGCTGGCTGGGTGGGCAGTGTCTATGGTGCTTGCCTCTTTCACAACTCCTGGCAGGGCACCATTGTGCCGCTACCTCCCTGCCCTGCTAGCTAAGTGCATGGCCCAGCTGCTCTCCTCCTCTCCCTGTCTCCTAGGTACTTTGCATTTCCCTTGGTACCTGGGTCTCCATCACAGCTGTGTGAAGCAAGGTAGAACTGTACCATCCCAAGCAGGAGGACATACTCACTCAGTGCCAGAATCTTCACCAGAACAGCGGGGAGAGCTGGGTGTGGGTGCTATAGCTGCTGCAGTTATAGTCAGGGGGCTAGGAGGCACTCTGGAAGGGGGGCAGCAAGGAGATGTGAGAGGCATGGGAATGGAACGCCCATGGCAGCTGTGTCAGAGACACTGTCTTGGGGGTTGCATGTTTGGCCATGGCCCACAAAATCGAGGACTGCAAGGAGGACACGACCTCAGCGTCCAAGTCCTGGTTGTGATGTCCACTGCATCAGAGCTTCCCCCCTGGTCCTGCGTGATGTATTCCATGTGCTTGACAAGGCGTAAGATGATGTCAAGGGAGCTCAGGTTCAGCTGCAGGTCTACGGCCTCTGCTCCTAGATCCTGCAATGATCCAGGGTTGCAGCAATGGGCCAGAGTCCTTGTTGACCACTGCCAGCAGCAGATATTGTGCCCCTTGGCTTCTGGGGACCTGCTCCTGGGCACCTGGTTGTCTCATCATCCCACGGCTTTTTGCATCTGCTCCTGCAACAGGGGCCCTGCCAGCAACTCCTGCTTCCCAATGGTGCCATATATGTGGGGTGGCAATGGCCCTGTCTGTGGCCAGGAAGCAGGACATCTCATAGAAGGCCATGTTCTGCCTCTTGGCCCTGGACTTTTTATTGGTGGCATACACATGTTTGTACTAGATCTTCATCCATTTCATCTTGTCCCAGTGCTGCACTCAGTCCCTGCTGTGGCTCTGTGCTTGCATCTGTTGGGCAATGCACTTGAATGTCCCTGTTGTGGTGCCCTTTACGGATCTGGTCCTGGGTTGACAGCAACACGATTCTTCATCTCCCCATGTCTTCAGTTGTGCAGCCACGGTTGGGTACTGGAGGAGGATGGGATGGGTTCTTCCATGGTCCACGGGGTCTTGATGTGGGTGAGATGGATGGATGGAAGGAATGAAGTGTGCGCATAGGTGTGGATCCTGGCACATAGCTGTCCCCCTCACTCCATCTGGGTGTGGGCTCTGGTCCAGAGAGACTGGGACTCCACTGGCCAGGCCATCCCCACAACCTTAAACTTTCCAGGGCCTTCTAGTAGATGTCTTGGTCATTCTGGCAATGCCCCACACCCCAACCTTAAAATTTCCAGTGTCCTCTATATGCAACACTGAGGCAACTGACCATGCCCCACCTGCTCCTGAAGTTTCCAGGGGCACCTGCCTGCTTGCCTCAGCCTGTATGCTCAGTGGCCCTCACTCCCCCAGCCCTATACTCTTGGACCCCGTAGCTGCAGGTCAAAAAGCCTAGATACTTGCCAGCAATGGCCAAGCCTCAGAGATCACAGGGTCACCTCTCTGCGGTCCCAGTCTTGATGTTGTGCCCCCCACTACCCAACCCACCAGAGGTGAGCTGCCTGCACTGGCTCCTGCTCAGGGGAGGGGTGTCTGTCCATCTGTGATGGGGTCCGAGTCATAAGGTGCCTCTGAGATGTGGTGTGTGGGTGTAAGGGTCGTGATCCTTGGATGCTGTGCCCAGGCATGGGGGTATGGGGTCCTTGGCTGGGTGTGCAGGTGCCAGG